TCAATATCCACAACCACAGAGAACATACTCATACAGCACCAGGTTACAGAAATGAAGAAAAACAGACTTTTGAAAAGTAAAACTAAATTCTGGTTTAATAAAACATTGCCTCAGAAAATAACAATGTTTATTGAATGACATATTTCTGAGTGTCGGCATTACTTACATACACAATCATTCACAAGGAATTTTCTGAACTACCCCAACTGTGTGGTACTTTTCCCCAACCTCTATGTGTAACTACTTCCTCATTCCTAGTCTAAACTGTCATATACACAAAAAAATCCATAAAGTATAAAAAATAAAGAAATGACAAACATATCTTTTGCCTCAGAAAATAACAATGTTTATTGAATGACATATTTCTGAGTGTCGGCATTACTTACATACACAATCATTCACAAGGAATTTTCTGAACTACCCCAACTGTGTGGTACTTTTCCCCAACCTCTATGTGTAACTACTTCCTCATTCCTAGTCTAAGAACTGTCATATACACAAAAAAATCCATAAAGGTATAAAAAAATAAAGAAATGACAAACATATCTTTTACATAAACTAAGAACCAAATTGATATTTCATATGAATCAACAAGCTGCTATTTTTTAATGAGAGTGATCATCAGCATTACATCCTAGCTGAGCATCGGATCCAATCAACAGTAAAAGAAGTACTTCAATATAAACTAAAAGATAGAGATAGATACGTCTAATCAATTCTGCAGAAAAAAAATATGACTGTGATTCAAACAGTAAAAAAAAAATAAAAAGATTATGTAATTCTTAAGAACATGGGTGTAAGGTACTATTTCTTTAAAACTTTATACAGTATAAAGCCTTGTACATACAAGAAAAGAAAGCAACAAACATACCTCTCATCTGCTGCCGTTAGTTTGGGCAGAATTTCTCTCGCCTCATGGAATGATGCACTAAAAAGAAACATAAATCATAAATAGTTAAGAACTTTCCAAGATAACTTGTAATCTATCTATCTATATGTATATATATGCATACATGCACATATACATAAATTTCTCACCTAGCTGCTTGCGACATGTGATTACGTAGTACACTGGTCAAAGCATCCAGATCTATATGTGCCTGCAGTGCCCCAGCCGGTGACCAGTGGCTGACGCAGGTGATGAGACGTGACATTTCTTCGCCAACACCTTCAACAACTCTCCCCACAAGTCCGCCAACAAGCCCTGGCCACACACCCACAACCTGAAAGTACATTAGCCATCACTTGTCTAGACTTGGGATTATATTTTTCTATTTGACCAACTTTGGACTGTGATTCTTTTCCTATTAACATATATACATGTACATATGTACATATTTATGAATGGATGTCTGTAACCATGTACAGGTATGTATGTATGAATGAAATTTGTATGTTTCAAATATATCTGTGTATGTGTGTATGTGTGTGTGCTTATCCACACATGTATATGTCTTTGTTTGTTTGTTACATGCTTGCAGACTGGTGAAAAACATGAAATACAATATCCCAAAAGCAGCAAGCTCCACCACTGCAGGCGCTGCACTTAACTAATGGACATACTGGTTTAGAAATACAATAAAGTTAGAACACTTTAGAACTGGAATTTCCACTGATCTTAGACCCTATAATCAGATTAAGTTCAAAAGGACTTTACATATTGACTGTACATATGACGAAGACTTTGCAGAAAGATAGTTCATATGTAAGAAAGGTAGACAATTTTTTTTAATGGTTTGTTTGCATCTCTTTGATATAAGTCTCTTACCAAAAAAAAATCTCAATTTTATTAAAAAATGGAGTATTTTTCCAGAAGTGGTACCTTGTGACGATGTAATTCTTGATTTTTAGTCAAATAAAAAGCATCAAGATTCAGGGTTCATGTAGTCTCATAATTAAGTATTGGACTGTTTAGATTTCTGTTTGACTGAAACTTAATAACTTTCCATATAAAAAATCGAAAGAACCTGATAATGTCGGCCAAAAATGTTGTTGTCAAAAGAGTTATAGTAACAAACTCTAAAAATATACAAGTATACTGCATTCATACATAAACAATCAAAACAGAAACTAAAGTAGGTTTCCTATAGATTTCAGTTATACATTCTCAATCTTATGTATGCAAAGTATGGCTACACCATTCACATTCTTTCAATGGTGAAGATTCCTACAATAAATTTGTGATTTTTCTTAGCTAAATCATAGAGATGTCATGTTCAGTGTAATTTTATTTTATTAATTTTGTTTGCATACAAGTAGCTCCACAAATATTTAGTCACCCAGTTTTTAATCATAAGTACTACCTATCTCACATATTTACCCTTTTCCTTGTTTTTTTAAGAAAAAAAAAACTAATAGTAGCTACAATTACTAACATAAAAATGATGTCAATAAAAACAACAACAGTATCAATATAAATACCATTCGGTAAAAATCCCTCAAAATTTAAGGACTCACTGGTGGCTGAGCAGTTGTGGAGCCATCTGTGTGCAACACATTCACAAAACAAAATTACAGTGAACAGAATATGTATATCTGGCACCAACAGCTTAAAAAAATGACTAAGTCTGATGGTTTCCAATGCAAATGCCAAACAATCATACCTGGTCATACAGGTAATGGGTACTGTACAAGCATTGTGCCCTATAGCCACATTAAGACTCCACATCTCTATCATCTGTTCCTAAATTATTACAATATTTCAATTATTTTTATTTCTTCTTGCAAATACTGTACTTATATATCTATATGCGTTCTTAAAACTGAGAGAGAGGAAAAAGTGTATGTATGTGTAAGTATATATATAATATATATATATATATAATATATATATATATAATATATATTATACATATAAAATATATAATACACTCAGACACACACAGACACCAGACACAAACACAGACACACACACACACACACACAACACACACACACACACACACACACACACACACACACATATATATTATTATATATAATATATATATATATATATATATATATATATATATATATATATATTATATATATATATATATATTATATATATACACACACACACACACACACACACACACACACACACACACACACACACACACATACATACATACATACATACATACATACATACATACATACATACATACATACATACATACATACATACATACATACATACATACATACATACATACATACATACATACATGGATAAATAACTAACCTCTCTGATCAGGACTTGAACCCATGTCATTGCAGGCTGGTAACTGCAAGACATACGACCATGTCAACTGAGCTACACAATCCACTAAAACGTTTTAGTGGGTCGTGTAGCTCAGTTGGTATAGGCGTCTGCCTTGTAGTTACCCACCTGCAATGACGTGGGTTCAAGTCCTGATCAGAGAGGTTAGTTAAAAAAATATATATCTATTCAGCATATCAATGCGATATTGTGCATTATTCCATCTCTCATTCTATATGATATATACATATATATACATAATATATACATATATATATACATATATATAACACATATTAATATACATTATACATATATATATATATATATATATATATATATAATATATATATATATTATATATACAATATATATATAATATATTAGATATATATATATATAATATATATAAGTATAAATATATAATATATATATATACATATATACATATATACCATATATACAACATCACATACATACATATATACTAAATATAAATATATAGTATAGTATATATATATATAATATAATATACATATATACTATATATATATAACTATATATATTTAGTATATATATGTCATAGTAAGATATATATAGTATAATAGAGAGAGTAGGATATAATATTTTATAGTTTAGTATTAAACTAGTATTAGTGTAATATATATATGCAGGGATGATAGATATATGACGTACTGATATATATATATATATATTCTACATATAATTATATATACAGTTAGCTATATAACAGATATATATATATAAATATAATATATATTACATGATACTATACATGGAGATAGATACTATTCTATATACTATTACCATATACCATACCCTATAATATACTGATTATGACAGATATATTATTATAACATGACAAACATGAGTACTAGACAGTATTAAAACCCAAACAGATCTAGTAATCACTAACAAAACTAACTATAATACATAAATAATTAGCAACAACAAATAAACAAATAAGATACCATAGCTAGTAATAACCATATAAGTATAACAGGTAAATACCAATAAGAACACACAAGGTAAAAACACTCACCCCTATATATTCATCACTCACTCACATAGGCAATAAACAAATAATACATCACGCGACCCGCGGAGCGTACATATATTAAATACAGTTGATAGATAAAATTAGAATACAATCACCCAGCAGCAACGTATATATAGATAGCTAAGGATAATATACGCAAATACTAAAATATCATATAGATATCTTATTATAAGGTAAAGATACACTATATATATACCACCCTCACACACCGTATATACCCGCGGCTTATACAAAATTGCATTTATGTATAGGGTACGGGTATATATGTAATATAAGCAGATAGTTAGATACAGATTATATTACTATACTCACCATATGATACATATATTTATATATATATATATAGTTACATATAGCGGCCAATGACGTAATATAAATAGTCAATAGGCCAGAACACTATATCTACACCAGGCCTATAGCTATATATACTATGCACTATATATATATATGCATATCACTAAACGCTCCTATACTGCCCTCATAGTAATAAGTTATGATAAGCTTGTGAGGTCACCTCACTCGTAACGCTATATACTTACTTATACACTATCCTCAAAGCCAAAACGGTAACTCAATACTAAACACAGCCACGGCGTAATATAATATATATAACGATAACCGCTACGTATATACGATAGTCATAAGCTTACAAATAAACCCAACCCGCGGTGTAGCTAGGTCCTCACACACCACTATAATAATAAGTATAGTATGATACAATATATCACTATGCATAACGTACACTATACCTCAAGCTATTACTGCCTAGATACGCACTATTATATAGTAGTATATATATATAATATATATAGATAGCACATATATATATATTTACTAAGTATAATGTTTAGATTATAATAGTCGGCTAGCTCACCCTAACATAAAACTACCATATAATACTACCCGCAAAAAAAGTAATATATATGCGCATATATACTAACCATTAATAAAACTAAACCAGAATACTATCTAGTAGGTAAAGTATAATATTATACCAAATACACTACTCAGTACCAATCTCCTAATATACACCGCGCTATGCTCACTGTACTAATATGCCCCCCCGTACTACTCCGGGCAGCTATATATGCAAACTACCTCCCCCCGCCACCCGCCGTACTATTATATACAGTTAATATATCATATGTATATATGTATATGTATACATATAGTATATATATATCGCATCCTCATCTTACTAATTATCTGTACTCACGTATATAATAGAAGCGTTATATACATACTACTATAGTATATATGGCATCTATTAGCTATGCTCACTAACGTACCCTCCTACTATTATATATAGTAGTCACTAATAGAAGTAGAATATACATATTTATACTATACCATTTATTCTCTATTACCTATACATATTGTATATATACACTTATTTATATATACACTATATATATATATAACATATATACATATCTAAAACACGCGTATGACCACGCGCCTATACACTACTATTACATACGTTATATATACCCTCTCATTATACCATCATTCTACCTCACCCCCCTATAAATTTAGTACTATCATGGTATATATATCATGGTATATACTATACATATATACTACCTACACTAATATACACTTACCTTATACTATTTATACCATATATCATCATATACTACCTTAAATATACCCAATATATTAACTATATAGCTATATATATCTATATATTACATTATTATACCTATTAAACATAATGATATACTCACCATACGTACTCACATCTCAACCTGATACCCATAACATAACTACTATATATGCACCTTCCTATACTGATATACCATCCATATTATAGTATACATATACCGTACATAGAAATATATACATATATATCCATTACATACTATACATATCATATTAAACCCCCCCTATAGTTA